CTATATCACCAAAGTGCACTTAACTTTTCGGGAGCACATCCAGAGAGAACTCCAGAGTTAAGCGTGCTTCAGCTGTAGTAGTCAAAGGATGGGTGACCTATCGGGAAGTGATTTGTGATACCGTGTAAGTGAGGCCAAAGCACGGGGAAAGGTCATGTGGTGATTGCAGGGTCAGTAAACATGACTCTACAGCCTTGGAAAATTAACGGACCGAACGTTGGAACGGGATGGGACCCACGGGCCGAGAGAGCGGGCGTGGGTTGCCCATTAGCTGTGGGCGGTCGGGGCGTTACAAGTGGTATCAGAGCCGAACCCCGACGAGTGTGGAGTCAGTGAGGGCTCACACTAACAGGGGTAACGATCTTGGGGCGCAACAGGGACGTTGCGTTCTTTGAGTGGGGGTGAATTGTAACATCCCGGTTTGTGGTATTTGGAAAAGGCGTAAGAAAATTGATTTGGCTACCTATATCAGCTAAGTGCACTTACCTTTTCGGGAGCACATCCAGAGAGAACTCCAGAGTTAAGCGTGCTTGAGCTGGAGTAGTCAAAGGATGGGTGACCTATCGGGAAGTGAGTTGCGATACCGTGTAAGTGAGGCCAAAGCACGGGGAAAGGTCATGTGGTGATTGCAGGGTCAGTAAACATGACTCTACAGCCTTGGAAAATTAACGGACTGACCATTGGAACGGGATGGGGCCCACGGGCCGGGAGAGCGGGCGTGGGTGGCCCATTAGCTGTGGGAGGTCGGGGCGTTACAAGTGTTGCGGCGAGAAGTCAAAGTCCTTAGCGCTAACCCTAGCTTGCCTTGGAGATCAAGTTATCTCGTTCTATTTTCCGGTTCTTCTAGTCTCTGATATTGGCTAAGGTGAGGGCTATTCCTTAAATCCCGAACTAGTTTAGTACTACTATTATGAAAAGTTTAGTTTCGAAACATGTTCCGTCTCTATGAACCGAGTCTGTTTGAGTCTTGTTTGTTTATTTATTATTATTGATTGATAAACCGGAAATAGATTAATAGAGGATTCAACGGTTGTGTGACATGATTGATGTTAAGAATTGTCTATATGTATATGTATATATATAAGTCCATGTGTGAGAGATTGCGACTAGCTACGCCTTGTTTGAGGAGATTGCGGGGGCACATAGACGTCTGTGCTAGCGCCGCCTTGTGTGGAGATTGCGGGGTACAGAGACGTTTGTACTAGCGCGCCGTAGAGATTGCGGGGTAAGGAGTGGACTACCGTACTAGCGACGCTTGTAGAGTTATATATGTATATCCCTATGAGGAGATTGCGGGGTGCAGAGATTAGCTATGTACTATCATCGTATTGATTGTTGTTGTATGGTGCTCTAGGCATATGTTTGTTCTGTGAGGTGTAATAGACACCGTGTTTGTCTCATGCTAGAGCTAGACCTACATAGTGGTAGTGCTATGTACTGAGTCAGTGGTTTGTGGTTTAGCATCCCATACCTCACTGAGTGACTCCCCTGTTACTCACTCCTCTTTCTTTCCCCATTTCAGGTGATACTGACGATCAGGAGTGATCATTTCGGATTGGTGCTTTTGGGAGTTTTTATTTATCTATTTTCAGACTTATGTTTTAATCGATATTTGAGATTTAATATGTTATTTGGATTTATGGAGTTTGGAGATGATTTATGCGATTCAATAAATGGAGATTTCAGACATTTTATTTATTTTATTATTTTGGAAAATGCGGGCGTTACAAGTGGTATCAGAGCCGAACCCCGACGAGTGTGGAGTCAGTGAGGGCTCACACTAACAGGGGTAACGATCTTGAGGCGCAACAGGGACGTTGCGTTCTTTGAGTGGGGGTGAATTGTAACATCCCGGTTTGTGGTATTTGGAAAAGACTTAAGAAAATTGATTTGGCTACCTATATCAGCAAAGTGCACTTACCTTTTCGGGAGCACATCCAGAGAGAACTCCAGAGTTAAGCGTGCTTGAGCTGGAGTAGTCAAAGGATGGGTGACCTATCGGGAAGTGAGTTGCGATACCGTGTAAGTGAGGCCAAAGCACGGGGAAAGGTCATGTGGTGATTGCAGGGTCAATAAACATGACTCTACAGCCTTGGAAAATTAACGGACCGACCGTTGGAACGGGATGGGGCCCACGGGCCGGGAGAGCGGGCGTGGGTGGCCCATTAGCTGTGGGCGGTCGGGGCGTTACAAAAATACGAGGATCTTTCATCATCATCATTACGGAGTGGTACTACTCTTGGTGATGGTTGATGGTGTACCATAAAGGGAGGTACCACTCCGTAATGACGTTTCTGATTTGGAAACTCGCGATTCAGCTTGTAAACACGAAAGAATGACTATTTACCATTTGATGTCAGTGATTACATGTTTATTAACATATATTTTAATGTCGACTAGATCTCGACCCGCACGACCGTGCGGTATTTTAATACAAACTAATTTAAATTATATAAGAAAATCTATCAATAAATAAATATAATTTGATGCTTTATTCTATCTGATTTTATAATAATATTTATGTGGTTTATAATATTATTAATATAAAATTTGTATTTTGTAACAAATTTTTAAGAACATTATTATGTAACATTACTAATTTACATATTTTTTTTATTTCTAAATTTTAATATATGTAAAAAGTAAATTAAGTTGGACCTACTTTGGGATAGTGTTAAAAGTATTTTACATAATTTTTAATTTTTGTTTATAAATTAAAATGAGTTAAAATTTTAATTATATTTTATGATAGTTAAAATTTTAATCAAATAACTTTCGAAATCATATCTTTAAAATATTCTAAAAGATTTTAAAAAGATTTTGTTATCATTTTCTTAAAGATATTTATTTGTATTTAAAATAAAAATTAAAGATATAAAAAAAATATTATAATGATGTTATGTAAAATTTTATAAAATTTCTAAGGATGATTCAAACTAAAAAAAAATCACACATGAAATGAGTCATGACTTCTATTTTAGTATAATAGATTTTTGATATTTGTTATTATCTTGGTATAATGATTTGATTTGCAATGAAGTCAACTCCACATTTTATTAAATGATAACAAGTGTTATTTTTCTAAATATTAATTAGAATTTTTATTAAATATACCAAAAATAACACTTAAGTTACTTGATTTTCTCTCTTAGTTAAATCAAATGAAAAATAAGTTTACATGTTAACTAATCATATATGTATATATGTGTATATATAAACGTTTCTATTTCTAATTTTTTGAAAATTAGGTTCCCACATTTCGAAACGTTTCGTTTCCACATATCCGTTTTCGATTCGAAGCAACCTAGCTCAAGACTCTCTTTTCTCGTTTAAATATCTGAGAGGATAAACTGTGTGACGTTTTAAATAAAATTGCATGTTATTTTAAAAAAATTTAAATGACAAAGCGTTGAACATAACTTGATCCTAAAAGTAACTTCTTATTGGACCAGTGACCCTCTACCCATGCCCATGACCATGCCCACGCCACCGCCCATGCGTGGGGCCAAGCCATCTCTCATTTGTTGATGTCCGATGTGGGATAAACATCACTTCTTCTTCATTTATTTGACAATTTTTTGGGCTGTGTCCATGTCTTTTTTTGTTCACAATATAATGAAAGCCCATTGGCTTTTAGTTGATCCAACAACAGTACCTTCTTGATCATCCTTGTCTTTGCTTATGTTCAATAACCATACTAAACAATCTTAGACTTCAAATTTTCAACCTCTATAACTCTTGAGTTTCCCAAAACCACTAATGATACAAATATAAATACATATCTTCCAGAGACTGAAAGGTCACTTCAAGCAACAACACAATCGACGCAATTAGATTGATCCCCGAGTAAAATCTTTTACATGAGGATATAAAGTTTGAAAAATCTTTTACACGAGGATACAAAGTTTGAAGCCCTTTGGCTATTGAGCTTGATAGCAAATCTCATTAAATAGACCAAAGAAGTAGGCTCATACAGATTGATTTGAGTCCCAAATCTTCACTATATCCATCTTATGCCGAAACATATGAATTATAAGGACGAAACATGCCGGAAGTGTATTAACCTGATCGGATATTTCAAATTACGTATTTTGAATGTGTTAAGTCGTTTGAGTTTGGAAATCAATTTAGCAGATGACAAAAAAAAAAAGATGTTACATTGTTGTTGAGCTTCGTCCAAGCTCATGTCCAACTCTTAAGTGAATGATTAGTACAATATTGTCCACTTTTAGTCTGAAGGTAAAAAATCCGTATGAATTTGGTTTTGGATCCTTCCCAAAAGATCTTGTACTAATGAGAGTTGGACATCTCTTTATATACTAGGCATTGTACTAGTTGTTAGACTAAAAACGTTTTCATGTTTATAGATTCACTTTGCAATATTTGTTTTAAATCTATATAGGAAAAAGACAGTATGTTGAATGAAAAAGCAGATGTGAACGACTGGACTCTTGAGATATCACTCTTTTTAACTTAATCGTTGTAATCCGCGTCAAAAAGGCCAGTCCTCTACTTTTACTATACTTTATTAATAACATATAGCACTTTTCTTTTCTTTTTTTTGGACAAAATTAATAACATATAGCTAAAATATCTAAATTACATTACTAAATAAGCATGGTGTTTGGCTTCTGGTCCTAATTTAGTTTTTTCTTTTCACTTTTGACATTATTACTACTTAGTGACATGTAGTGTTCTAATTCCGTAATGATTTCAAGAAGTGACTACATTGCCATACATAGAAGGAGAATAGAAGAAGATGAGATTTTTGAAAAGGAAATGTCTTTAAAAATGTCAATTCCACTATATAGTGTTTCTCCATTGTAACTATCTGCAAGTGAACTAGGAGAGAGAGACAGAGAGGAAAAGGAAGTATGAGTGAGTGGTGTAATTAATTAGTTTATGTTTACTGTAACGGCTAGTCATACTTTGTGGCCTGAGCCAAAATAGAAAGGACTAGGAAGCGAGGGAAACATGACCAACGGCTATAAAACAATTTCGTCAGTTTTAAACTTTAATGATTTAATTTAACTAAAATGTCTTAAGAGCGAGACGTTGGACTGTACACACCGTTTGGTTGCCCAGATAATAATTACTCCAATCTCACAATTTTGTTCAGTTCAGACAACACCACAAAAGGAAGATTCTACGGTCAAATCTTGACACTTTCGGCCACACACACGCTGCAGAGTTATGTTAATACACAAATTATCCACACAAACGAACAACTGCAATGCCCTCCTCCACATTATTTTCAACATGTTACGAACCTGAGAAGGATAAAAGTAGAATTACAATCATAATAGAGGAGGTATCATTGTAGAGATCATTATGTACATAAATGCAAAGAAACTTTTATGGAATGGAGTGCGTGTGTCTACTATAAATCCATACATTTCGACAGTCCACAAAGTAGTCTGCAAAATATTCGTATGAATAAAAATACACAACAGTTGTGTTCCTGCAACCTTTGTGTAACATTCAGCCATCATTTTTTTACTAAAAACTTTACTAATCCGGAGAAACCCCCAACTCTAGCTTAGCCCCTCAAACAATGTAACTCCAAAAACTAACTCAAAATACTACTTACTAGACACAAAAATAGATTGTCGTCAACGCCATGAGGAAACAGAGAGGAGAGGCACATTGTTCCAAGCCAAGGAGATGAAACCTGGCTCTGATTCAACAAGTGAATACAATGTACTGTAATGGTAATTCCATAGAAGCAGGTTGGCTTGACTAACCGCGTAATTGCTCGGTTTAACCGGCTCGAACCCGGCTTTCTCCATCAACACTCTCCATTGCTCTTTCTCTTCCATCCTCCCTGACCCGGTTCCCGGTTTATTATTATTACCGGGTCCGACCAAATCCGATATTCTCCGACCGAACAGAACTCTCTCCACTCTCAGTCTTTCCATCGAGCCTCGCTCCAAACTCGGCTCCAGTGATTCAAAAACCGCAGAATAGAACCGGAGAGCGTTCTTAACCCGGTCCGCGAATCCAACCCGGTTCAAACTCACCTCGTATTCACCAAGCGTCACAATCCTCGGGTTTAACGATCTAGCGAGCCTGAGAGCAGTATCAACGGCCATCGCCGTTTCATCAAGAAGCTTGTAAAGCTCAAGCATGAAATTCACAACGAGAACCTCATCCGGGTCAACCCGTAAACTAGACCGGTTCAGCAACCGGATCGGAGTAAGAACCGGAACAAACTCGAAATTCAAATCCAAAAGATTCGCCAAATCACGTAACCGGTTTCCCGTAGCGACCAGAGACGGTCCCGGAGCTTCACCAAGACACGGGGCGGGTATACCCGAGATCCGGACCCGGTCGGGTTTTCCGGAAGCTCGGGTGGCCAGATCTTGCAAAAGAGCAGCCCACTGGATACCTTGAAAGATCCCGAAGTCGACGATGTGTATGTTTCTTGATTCTTGAGTTGCTTCAAGAATCGCTTGGTTCGCCGTTAAGTGAGCGAACTTTGAGTAAGGGCAAGCGTCGGTTAACGTTTTATACGAGAAGATGAAGTCCTCCAGCGACGGCGGCGCCGGAGAAAGTTTGTCGGAGAGAGCTTCGGCGAAGTAAAACCCGACTCGCTCCGTCGGGTTACCCGTTTCCGAGACGGATTCTCGGATCTTGATAAGCTTTTCCGCGGCTACGTCCGGTTCGGTATTTAATAACTGTGCACAGTCGTGGATAGCTTTCAAAACCGGCCGGTCTAAATCAAAGTCCGGTTCTTCCGTAGCGGTGGAAACCGGTGGGTTTGGGAGTGGAGGAGCTGAGTTTTTCTTATCTGAGAGAATGACTCGGTTAAGATCGGACGGTACACTGAGTCGACTCGGTAATTCCGAGAATGAATCGTGGCCGTGGATAGAAAAGTCTTGACTTGCATCTCCACCGTTGAGTAGAGTCTCCATCCACTCGTCTGAGTCGAACTCTCCGTCATGTGGAAACCTAAACCCCTTGGAAACGGTGGCGTTTTGATGCTCGAGGAGGGGAAAGTGAAAATCCGGGTCTCCGGTTAGCTGAAACGGGTCTGAAAGAGCATAACCTAGTGTTTGGTTAGGCCATGGATTGTGTTGTTCTTGTTGTTGCTGTTGTTGTTGTGATTGCTGTTGTTGCTTCTGTTTGATGAGCTGTTGAGCTATAGCCATTAAGTTTCCACTGTCAGTGCACTTGTAGTCCATACTCCGGTCACAAAGCTCGCCGGAAGAAGTCTTTGGGTATTGAGAGATTGAGAGAGAGGCGAGATTTTAGAGAGAGAGGGGAAATGAACAAAACCTTTGATTATTCTATTTCATTTTATTTCGTTTTCAACTTCTTCTTTTTTTTTGTCGGCCCAATTATATTGATAACTGCCCAATGGGTAAAAGTATAAGTGATAACGGGATTATAAAACAAGAAGCCCAAAAGGATTATTACAGATAAACGAAATAAAGGCCATGCGATTGGGATTGGGAATTTTACCGGCCTACGCGTTAAATATCGGTTGAATTCGTAGACACGTGTTACAAAGTGTGTCACTCATGCAGAGACAACAGTTCTTGGACGTCGTGGGTCAGCTCCAGGCCTCCAGCCTCCACCGTAGGTTTACTGCCGCCGTAGACTCCTCCACAATCTTTTTATCAATCCTTTTCATCATCAAGATAGTGAATATATGAACCAAATGCAGATGGGTATAGGAGCTCTTGAGCATTTGACGAACTGACTAAAATAGTTGTTGTAAATGTGTCCGCGAGTTTTGAATCCAATAATCCATGCCATATAATTCGATTCATTTTTTTCAATTATATGATTTTTTCTTTCTTTTTTTTTGAATATACTCGATTCATTTTTTCAGTTCTATTATTTTTTGCGAAATTATTTCAATTATTTCTATATTGAGCAGACGAAAATCTTTGATGGGAGTATTCTACAACAGACCTACTCAGCTGAACACGCTCTCCACGATAAAAACGAAACCCCACACCTCCACCTTAAAGCCCATGTTTGTTGATGTCCTCTCTTAGTGACTTGGACATCAAGCTATTTTCTTTCTAGTAACGTGTAAAAGCATCGAAATAGCTGGATTGGTCAATAAAAGGGTACGAAAGTCGAGTTTTAAGAGAGGGACTTTATTAAAAGAAAGATTTTTATTTTATTTTTGCTATTTGTGTTACTTTATATAAGAACACAGCCGTCTTTGGTGATACTATCTTTCCTGCATATAATTCGTTTCCTTTAAAACATCTGAAAATGTGAGAATACTAATGGATTGAGTAATAAAAAACCGAATCAGGTTTCTTGAATGATTGTTGTTTCTGAACGGTAGTAAACTAGGATCAAGCTTTATTTGTTAGAGCATTAGTGCAAAAGTGATAATCAGAAGAGATCAAATAAACATTTTTTTGTAGGGTTGAACTTGAAATGGAAATTAGGGCAAAGTGAAAAAGGGGAGAAAAGCGTAACTTTTGGTTAGTAAGTGAAAAATGAAAATAAGTGTAGAAATGGCAAAATGACACTTTTTTGGTGATGACTCAATACCACTCTTTGGTCATGCATACGAAACCCCACCGATGACTTGGAGGGAAAGAAAAGACAAACCAAACTCTTTCACCCTTACTACTGTCCCTTTCACACACCACTCTTTCTCTCTCTCTCTCCACTTGCAAATAGTTGCGATGGAGAAACACTAGAGAGTGCAATTGCCATTTTTAAAAGACAAGTCCTTTTCAAAAATCTCATCTTCTTCTATTCTCCTTCTATGTATGGCAATGTGGTCGCTTCTTGAAATCATTACGGAATTAGAACACTACATGTCACTAAGTAGTAATAATGTCAAAAGTGAAAAGAAAAAATCTAGATTAGGACCAGAGGCTAAACACCATGTTTATTTAGTAATGTAATTTAGATATTTTAGCTATAAATAAAGTATAGTAAAAGTAGAGGACTGGCCTTTTGACGCGGATACAACGATGAAATTAAAAGGTAGAAGTCTCAAGAGTCCAATAACGTTCCCACCTGCTTTTTCATTCACCATAGTCTTTCTCCTATATACAAGCTTTTAAACAAATATTTCAAAGTGAAGTCTATTAACATGAAAACATTTTTGGTCTAAGTACAGAACTTAGTAGAGATCAAGAACTAGGAACTCTTTTCTTATTGCTTTAAAAAATAACTCAAAAACTAAAGATTTCAATCTAAGCTTCTGTAAGATATGTCAAAACTTGACATCTTCTTATATATATTAATATATAGAACTTAATAATATTTCATAATCTTATTAGGTAACATATCTAAATCTATGACAAAAAGGGTAACATAACTAGATAACTCTAAACATCTTATCAGATCAGAAAAGAATCAGGTTTTTAGGTTTCTCATTTAAATCTCGTTTCGATCTCAGAGCAAAGCAATGGCGGCTACAAGTGAGAAACACAACACCATTCGACCCCAAAAAAAACTAGATAACTCTAAACATATTATAAATCCTAATTTACATGTCTTGGTAAGATTAAGTCTTTAACTTGCATCTCAAATTTCCTTCTCTTTCAAACTTAAACCAACACTAACAACTGGCTAAATTATTAAAGGGGAAGCTTTCACACCATTAAGTTAAGGTTCAAGCCTCAAATATACATATTATTGTAGATTATAAAATGATGTTTAACGACACTGATATATTGCGGTTCAAATATTACAACTCTGATATGCTATTGTCATAAATGATAGTTTATGAGAAACTGGAATATGCATTTGAAACACAATGTAAAATGTATAAGTCTCTTTTAACCCTTTTCTTGTTACTTTATTGATGTGGTCTTTTTTGGTATTGCTTAGTATTTTGGGTTATGTTAAGAGAATTTGTCATCGAGAGTCACTTTGTGACTTTTAATAACATGATAAATCACTTATTGCTACTAGTATACTTTTAAGTGGTTGTTTACTATTTTATCCCTAACTAAGTGTAACCATAACAAGTTTTTAGTTTCTCCTTTTTCCTTCTGTTTTCAATTTCTAAAAATTGTAAAACAAAAACACGTGAAAAATATATTTTTTCATCTTTGTCCCTCTACTTTTTTTTTTCGTTAGAAATCAAAGTCTAAAAAAAAATGGATGGTTTCACAATTATTTACATTATTCGCTTCTTCTCCACTGCAATAACACTACCGTAAACGCCGCCACGTCCATGTCTTCTTTTTTTTTTTTTTTTTTTTTTTTCACGTCCATGTCTTCATTAAACGCGAAAGCACTGCAACCAAGCTTCCTCTTCTGTTTCTTTCTCTTGACTCCTCCCGCCGCTACATGCTGAGATCGACACAAATCCTCCTTGGCTGGTCGACTGGTCGTCATGCTCGGCATCGGAACCGTAAGCTATGATCGAAGACTCTTCAGTCTCAGTATAGGGGATCGAGAAACCCAGTGGCCAATTTCCTATTTTTCACATTAGGTCTCTCATATTTATATGTCTTCTGTTTTGGCCCCAAAGTTTATAAATGTGCAAATTTAACCTTTTGAATTTGTACCAAAATAATATCCACATGAACACATGTGTTCATGTATAATTATTATAGGCATGATATCTTCATACATGTCATTTGATAAATTTATTAATATTGGTTACATGTATGATACTTTGTGTATTATATGTACATATCAGTTGTACACGAAATATTCACAACTATCCACATGTACAACGACTTACGTGTACAATGAATTACATATACAACATTTAACTTGTATATCTGATAAATTTGTTATATACATTTGTAAGTTACAATATTTTTACGGTAAAAATATTGTCCATATGTACATATATTTTTTACTATCAACATGTAAAATATTACACAAAAAAATATGTACACCAGTTCAATTATACATTGCACAAGTAATGATATCCAAATAATTCTGATCGTGTATTATATGTACATGATTAGTTGTACATGAAATATACACTATCCATATGTACAACGACTTACATGTACAACATTTAACTTGTACATCTGATAAAATTGTTATATACATTTGTAAGCTACATTATTTTCACAGTAAAAATAATGTCCATGTGTACATATATTTTTTACTGTCAACATATACAATATTTCACAAAAATACATGTACACTAGTTCAGTTGTACATTACATTGCACAAGTAATAATATCCAATAATTTGAATAATTTAGAATATCTTTTCTTAGTTAATTTAAATCATTTAAGTTTCATTTGAGTGTGTATATTGCATATATTTTTCCATATATATATAGTGTATATATTTGTCCATTTGCATTTCATAGGGTCAAGAATTCACAACTGAAAATTTGGGGCACAATCACGAGGATATTTATGCACAATGGAAAGTTTATGGGCTGAAGTGAAAACCTTCTAATATACTGAGGACGTTTCTTGAAATTATTAAGAGGTATAAAATGAAGAATCTAAAAGTCTGGGGCTGATTCGAAAGATTTGTTTTGTAAAGTGACAAGTTTGGGGCTGATTGTATACAACCAGAAGCTACGAGGACCAATTGTGCAAATAATTAAAAATCCACCATTGGAGGATCTTTCCAGCTTCTCGATCTGAATATGGCCGCGGCGGCGAGAAGCCACGACTCTAGATCTTCGGGACAGGCGGTCACGGCTCGAACTGAAGTTATGCCGGCGATATCTGAGCACAGCCGCAATTTTGTGATGAACTGAGGAAAGTACTATCGTTGGAGTGAACTCATCATGATTCTCGGTGGACGAAGGCTATCATTAAATCACCAGATTTCTTTAGATGAGTAAAATGTATGTGTTCAAGAGCTTCATTGAAAGTTTCGTGGTGTCCTCTAGCATTTTTGTGGAGATATTTTTAAAAACTGATTTATCATTTTGTGTTTTGGTAAAACATTACAGTGATCGAAGTAGTTTTAGTCTGCAGTTAGAATCAAACTAAAATAGTCAAAAATACTTAACTTTAAAGTGAGTTAAGTTAAGAAAAGTGTACAAGGAGCAAGAAGTGACCTATGTTATAATATATAAGTCAAAAAGTGACTTATGGTGTAATTATCTCTTATGTTAACTTATCCGGCTGCTGCATTTTCTTCGTCAACACTCGGTACAACAAATACTCCACCTATCGCTTTTTCTCCATATAGGGTCCTGCATATGGGCCCTACTAACGGCCCACCAACCGTCCTCGTTTACAAAATGAAACCAGTCTACTTGTTGTTTGGTTCCTTTAAGCATGTTCAATCCACTTAGTATTTTTGTTTTTTGTTTTTTCTTTTTTGTAACTTGGCTTCTGTTTTTTGTTTCTGTAAGTGGTTTTATTAAAAATATTAGCTTAAGCTTTAACTGTGGATGGATCTCTCCCCAAAGTATGTGAATCTTATACCAAGTCAGTGTTAACCGGTTAGGATAATCAATCCCAGTTCAAAATTTGTTTCATAAGAAACAGCTTTTCATAATAAAACTTGACCTTTGCGGCTTAAAAGCATTCGCTATTATAAAAAATTAACATTTACTTTTACTTTCTTGCTTATCAAATCTTTTACTTCTTTCTTTGTCAGTGTTTACCTTTACAGAAAAGTCATGCAGGTGACAAGTACCAGCAGACAGTTGTCTACGTGTCACGTTCATTCAGCAACGCCATTGATCAGATTCTTCGAACCTCAAATCAAACGGTGGAGATGACGTCACAGTCTTCAATACGTTACCAGATCGATGACGTTCATTCAGCAAGCCATGTTTTTGTGGACGCCAACTTATTTTTTTAGCTGGAGAAATGGTTTAACTCATTCAGAAATGAAATACAACATTATTTATTTGAGAAATTGATGATTACATGTTTCCAATTTTTTTTTTCTAATTTTATTAGTTATACTACATTTTCAAATCTTGATTAATAAACATTTAAAATCTTTATTTTTGTTTTTGATAGATTTATAAAGATTTCAACAAATCTAAAAATGTTTGATTTTTTGAGCATTCCAAAAAAAAACAAAAATTGTAATGCTATTGTATCTCCCAATAAATAAGAAATAAATCATTTATTTGTACAATTAAATAGCTATATATAAAAAGTGTGTTTCTTTGTAAATAAAATACCAAAGCAAATAAAAAATTAATAACATTTCTAACCCATTTAGAGTAAAAAAACTATAATTAATAATGTTTGGAGTTTCGTCTTTATTAGTTTCTAGGATTATAAATTTACAAAAAGCTTTTTTTTAAGATTTTTTTGTTTATTTTAAGATATATTTTCTCTAAAATAAAAAATGTCTGATTTTAATGTATATAAATTAATTAACTTTCTAAAGTTTGACTTTTGTATTAGTTTTATTTTTATTACTTGATATATATACACTAGATTTCATATAATTTAAATTTAGTTTTAAATAAATTTTTTACTAAATTAAGAAATCTACAAATAATTTTATTCTGTATGTAAAAAAAAAGAATATAATGATTGTTTGTACTTATACAAAATATATATACTTATAAATTATTAACTTATAATTCTAAGGAAACAATATATTTATTTCTATTTTTTAAAAATTATTCTTTTATTATTTTATCCTTGTGTTTCATATTTTAAATGCTGAAAATTATTAGTTTACAGTATTTATTTATTTGTTGAATATTAATTTATATAGTTTTTACAGTATATGTGTTTATAATAGTATTTATTTATTAACAGAGAGTATTCCATGACTTATAGAAAAGTTCAGTAAAATTTATAGTTTATAGATAGATTATTTCTTTAGTTATGCAAATATAATGTAAATATAGACTCATATATATAGATATCTAAAACAATGTGACTTAATTCTACTTAGTAAATATATCAAACATGAAATGTTGACGTTTCAATCCTTGTTCTTACCATTTAACCACAGGGTTTCAGACTCTATAATAGCATTTTGAAATAAATTTATTCAAACTCTTTTTTTTCCCTTCAAACTCATTTGTATTTTTCTTTAAAATATCGTTTTTCTTATAAATAGTAAAAGAAATAACATACTCTACTTTTATCCTATATACGTGAGGAACATTATTTAACTTCATCTATCTTAAAGAAAATTGTAAAATATATTAAAGATGATATTGGTTGTTTCTAAATTTACAAAAGAGTTTTGGGTTCAAGTCTGTAATCTACATAAATCAAAAGCTAAGCTACAATTTGTAAATTGCAATATTAGTTTTGTTTCGTATGTTAACTGATTACTAGATTATAACCCACCCGACTGGGCGGGTCTTTATTTTTATGGTATATATAAATATTTTAAAAAGTACAATCTAATGGTTCCAATTTTACTAAGTAATAGTATACTGTTTAAATATTGTATTTCATCATTATATTGGGCAACAGGGGTGTCAGTATAATATTGTGACCCGTTAATATTTTAGTAATAGTTTATAAGGTTTTTTTTTGCTAAATTTGGTACAAAGTTATATACACGAAACAATTTAGTCAAATTTTTAAGTTAATTTTTCAATGAAGAATTAGAAAGCAAGTATATCACTGTTAAAAACTTATAATAATAGTCAATATAAATTATATAAATAAAATATATATTATTTTTGATTTATTCTAAATAAATTTAAAACACGAGTATATATATGTAAAAATAATTTTCAGAAATAAAATAATATTAATGATAGAAAACCCAAAATCAATAATAATAATACTTTGGACCACATTAATCTTTAGTTTAATAAATAAAGTCCATTAGGTTTGTAGGTTATCATTATTTCCAATCACCATAATTTTAAATATTTCATATTCATGTTTCCAAACACTTAACTTTTTGTACTTCAGTTTTAATAGTATATATGTGATTTATAAACAAACGACTGAGTTACTCTAAAGTTCTATTCTAATTATAAAAGTTTGCATATTATAATCTTACAAACAGTGAAATAGTTGTAAATTAACATGAAAAAAATAGAAATATATTTAAAATACTAGCAACACAAGGTGAAAACGAAATAAAATGAAACGAATGATCATTTTCTCTCTTTATTTCTCTCTCTCTACTATAGTTTCATCTCTCTCAATCTCTCTACTAATTAAAAATCTCTCTCAATTCCGGTGAGCTTGTGGTCGGAGTATGGCTTATATGTGCACTGACAGTGGAAACTTAATGGTCATAGCTCAACAGCTCATCAAACAGAAGCAGCAACAGCAATCACAACAACAACAACAACAGGAACAACTCAATCCATGGCCTAACCAAACACTAGGTTATCCTCTGACCGGTTCTGGTCTTTCAGACCCGTTTCAGCTAACCGGAGACCCGGATTTTCACTTTCCCTTACTGGAGCACCAAAACGCCAATGCTTCCAAGGCGTTTAGGTTTCCACATGATGGAGAGTTCGACTCAGACGAGTGGATGGAGAGTCTACTACTCAACGGTGGAGATGCGTCGCAGACAACAAGTCAAGACTTTTCAATCCACGGTCATGATCCATTCTTGGAATTACCGAGTCGACTCAGTGTTCCATCGGATCTTAACCGAGTCATCTTCAAAGATAAAGATGACTCAGCAGGTCCACTCCCAAACCCACCGGTTTCCACCCCTCCGCCGCAGCTAGTATCTGAGGAGCCGGACTTTGATCTAAACCGGCCGGTTTTGATAGATATACACGACTTTGTCCGGTTATTAAATACCAAACCGGACTTAGCCGCGGAAAAGCTGATCAAGATCCGAGAATCCGTTTCGGAAACGGGCAACCCGACGGAGCGAGTCGGGTTTTACTTCGCTGAAGCTCTCTCCGACAAACTTTCTCCGGCGCCGCCGTCGCTAGAAGACTTCATCTTCTCATATAAAACGTTAACCGACGCTTGTCCGTACTCCAAGTTCGCTCACTTAACGGCGAACCAAGCGATTCTCGAAGCAACTCAAGAATCAAGAAACATCCACATCGTCGACTTCGGGATCTTTCAAGGTATCCAGTGGGCTGCTATGTTGCAAGCTCTTGCGACCCGAGCTTCTGGAAAACCGGACCGGGTCCGGATCTCGGGTATACCCGCTCCGTCTCTTGGTGAAGCTCCGGGTCCATCTCTGATCGCTACAGGAAACCGCTTACGTGATTTCGCGATGCTTTTAGGTTTAAATTTCGAGTTTTATCCGGTTCTTACTCCGGTTCACTTACTGAACGGGTCAAGTTTCCGGGTCGACCCGGATGAGGTTCTGGTTGTGAATTTTATGCTTGAGCTTTACAAGCTTCTTGATGAAACTGCGATGGCCGTTGATACGGCGCTCAGGCTCGCCAGGTCGCTAAACCCGAGGATTGTGACGCTTAGTGAATACGAGGTGAGTTTGAACCGGGTTGGATTTGCAGACCGGGTTAAGAACGCTCTCCGGTTCTATTCCGCGGTTTTTGAATCACTCGAACCGAATTTGGAGCGAGGCTCGATGGAAAGACTAAGAGTGGAGAGAGTTCTGTTCGGTCGGAGAATATCGGATTTGGTACGCTCCGGTAATAATAATAAACCGGGAACCGGGTCAGGGAGAATGGAAGTGAAAGAGCAATGGAGAGTGTTGATGGAGAAAGCTGGGTTCGAACCGGTTAAACCGAGCAATTACGCGGTTAGTCAAGCCAACCTGCTTCTGTGGAATTACCAATACAGTACATTGTATTCACTTGTTGAATCGGAGCCAGGTTTTATCTCCTTGGCCTGGAACAATGTTCCTCTCCTCACTGTATCCTCATGGCGTTGACGACCCGATTCAATCAAACCGAACTGATCTGTGTCTAGTAGTCTTTTGAGTTGGTTTTTGGAGTTGAATTGTTTGAGGGCTAGCTAGAGTTGGGGTTTTCTCCGAATTAGTTAAGTTTTTAAAAGATGTATTTTAGATTTGGTTGTATAATTACTCTAAGCTATTTTTGCCTACTTTAATATATCTAGATAACTTTTTAGTAGTTGGACTGATGGTTGGTCTTTTTTCTTCATTTGTAATGTATTGCATCTAACATTTCGATATTTTCTTTCGTATAAATGTAACTCTACCTTGATTTTATCAAATATTAACAGTTATATTATAAAATAATTGAATAAAAATATATGTAGCAGAAGCAGGTGTCAGAGAGTTTCTGACTTGAGGGAAATGAATATTACAAGAAGAGGTAAAACCACATATTGAACGGTACGAATACAATTCATTTGTCAGCTTAACTAGAGATCTTCAATAGTGGTCTTTTGGTCCCCACATGCTAACGTTTCCTAAGCCTCTTTCTCGATGTCTCAGTCTCACGTTAAACCTTTTTGTAGTCGAACCTTCCTATAACGACGTTGCCTTCCGGCTAAAGCCCATTGTGTTTATAACTTCTCTTGGCCCAAATGAATCGGATCTAAACTCTGTCCATAATCTCTTCTTTTTTCATAGTCACATAGAAAACAGTACAGTAGTGTTTATTGCTGTTTTGCACATAACCTTCTCCGCTATGAATTGCTTCGGACTTCCATTTGTAACCTTGTCAAGAGATCTTCAATGTAAGAAACCGGAAGAGAAATATGGAAAAGTGAATGGTAGATCATGTTTGTTTTGCAGTTCATTTTAACATGTTTTGTTGTTCGTTTTAGATAATAGTTAACTACATGTTTATTTTTTTATCGCTATTGCTATAGCTTACGAAGCGAACATGGTAAGTTTTTACTACTCTATAAAGACTGTCAGCTAAACTAATAATGTTTTGTTTGGCTGTTTTGAGTCTTTGTTTAGTTGGTTTGTCTTTAAAAAAACAATTTTGCGATTAAAGAAAATATATAAAACATACAACTTTATCTTTTTGATAGCCCGATCCTTAAGAGTATGATAGCCCGGTTCTTAAGAGTATGATCACCGGATAAGCCGCTAATCTACCGGGTTCATCTCTTGCAATCACTGCTGGGTCTTGATTTTGTGGTAAGTGGTGTTCTGTTTTTGGGTTGTATGCTTAGCTTTTAGATTCATAGTTTGAATCAGTCCTTGCTAAGTTAGATTGAGTCTGTGTTAGTTTATTTTCTGTTTCTCTACTTCTTGTTATTTCTGTACTTTTTGTAACAAACTCAAAAGCTCGGTAATATATCAACATTGTTACCAAAAAAAAGAAACTCTTATCTTCTTTTTTTTTTTATTGAAAAACTACTTTAGTTTCCTTCTCAAATTTATATTTTTCTATAGCAGGATACCTTCACTATTTACCATCAAAATCATTAATCTCAGGTAATGGTCTTCATTTTCTATTTTAAATAGCACAATTAACAAAATTCAACCAATTTATCTTATATGGTATATACGAAGTTAGGTTCAAACTAAACTAACAAAACATAAACCGTAATCAATATAATACATTAAAAAATACATTTAGTTCCACAAACACGAAAACCATTGTAAATTTTACAAATATAGCATACAGATACGAAGATCATGTCCTAATCAAACATGTAATCTGCATAGCCAACTAACACAATCACAGATAATATGAACAAAGTATCATATTCCGTGCATAGCGCGGTTTCTTCTAAATGTTAACTAAACTAATGATGTTTTGATATTTTCCTATAATGATATGAAATTGCACTTTGACCAATCATAAGGTTCCAGAACCGAAAATCCGAACCGGAACCGAATCGAAATATCCGAAACCGAAACCAGATCGAAATTCTTAAATATCCGAATGGTTCCTATATTTTTATACCCGAAAAACCGAACCGATAACCGAACGGGTACCCGAATATCCAGAAAAAAAGTTAAAGTTTTTTAATATAAGATAAAATAACATCAAGCCCACTTGAACCCAAGTTGAATATAAAGAGTAAATATATTTTTACCACCCGACCACATTATGTTTTATTTATTCTCTTATATTATAAATATATATAGTATTTCTATATTAAAATACAATAAATATTTATAAATTAACAATTTATTGATCCAAACTCTTGTTGGATTGACGAATATGTAAGCGTGTAAACACTAGACAATTTAAAATAACATATTAACTAAATATTTTGTATATATATATTTGATTTATATATTAAACGGGTACCCGGAACTGAACCGAAATCTCATAAGTACTTATTGGGTATAAGAATGATTTATCATTTATCTGATATACCCGAAACCGAACCGAATATCCGAATGTCCAGACCTAAGAGTAGTGATATGTTGCCTTGTCCAAGCTCAACACATGGCAGAAACATGTTTTCAAGGAATTTTTTGACCACGTGAATTGACAACCCTGGTCCTTTGACTGCACGTTACAATTATATGTTACGTGGATATTAATTAGAATTTTTTATGCCAATCATTATTGAGATATCCAATAGTTATTAGTTTGATGGTAATCAAGAAAACAAGGAAAAACAGAGGACAATGGATAGTTCTCACGTGCCCCCATGTGAATCATGAACTCCACCAAGATACGATGATCAATATCTTGACAGTGAATAATATTGTACAACACTTTTTACTAACCTCTCCCAAAAAATATTCATATCTAACTGAGTGTATTAATGGACACGACAAGACATGTAGTCTACTGGTTTATGTTAGTATTATCATCTACATTCAAGAGATGGCTGAAGCCTGCATAATGCATGTTATTGATATATAAAAATAGAACTTAATTAATGGATCTATGAGTTGGACACTAACCATCTTATCGCAACTCTCTATATATAATGAAAGTTACAACCTAAAGACATACGGGCCTTAGATCTCTCAACCTTTCTTCAGCCGAGTCCACACTCTATCTTTCAAGCCACAATGGCATGCATGGAAATGCAAAACTCCATAAATGGTGCAGCTAGGATCTCTTTCTCTAACGAATTCGTCGAAACCAGATCCGAGAAGAATAAAGTTAAGAGCAACAACGTCAACACTACTAGAACTTCTTTCTCCAAAACCTCTGATGATTTCGAGTTCTCTGTCACCGATTACGCCATGATTCCCGCAGATGAGATCTTCCTCAAAGGAAAGGTCTTACCATTCAAGGAGACCGGTCACGTTCATAGGACCTTAAGACAAGAGCTTCTTGTCGATGAAGAGAGTCCTGTCGATGGCAACATATTTTCCCTAAGGCCACTATTTTTGCCTTCTTCGTCCTTTTCCACAAAGGGTACGTGGAAGGAGCGATTGGGCCTCAAGAGAGCCCATATCAGATCTAATAAGACCGATAAAATTGATGAGGAAGAGATACGTCCATCGAGTCAAGATCACAAAACAATCTCAGGTACACCAACACGCTTTTTTTCTTCAATTGGTATGTGACAAAACTTCGTTTTTATCATGGATGAGTTTGACCTAATGAAAAGCTTTTCCATTTTAGGAAATGCTGTGACAAGGGAGTGTCAAGTTCGAGATACATATTCTTGAAATTGATTTAGATTATTTATGATCATCTAAATTGACTGTATTGTATTTGTATCCACATGTTCTTTGGACAGTGGTTCCAACAACTCTTTTCGGCACACCTGTTTTGTTGTTCTTGTAAGTTTTTATTTTGTTTTGTTCTCGAAACAGTATTTTTGTGGAAACATCCGTATTTTTTTTTTAAATGCAAGTGATGATTGTGTGTTTACCAATAAGGAAAAGAAAGAGGTTTGTCACTTTTAGACTAAAAGTTTTGGTTATGACCTATGAGTTGTATGCATGCATTTGTCTCACGCATTACTTCAGCTCTCCACCTTACATAGTTAAATATGCACAGTGAATTTGTCTCACGCAAAGTCGTTTTATGGTCCCTGCTTATTACATACTCACATGATAATTCAAATGGTCTATATCGCCCGAAACGTGTTCAGAGTTTTGATTTGCTTTCTGAGATAATGTTAAGTTAATAACTCACAAAATTATCGGACTTACCGAACCAAAAATCAGTTTCCGACTCTTATAGATTAGCTCGAACATTATGAACTGGAGAAATGTGTGTCGTCTAGAACAAAAATTTAATAACCAACGTTTTTGATTATTTCATTAAAACTATGTGTTCGTTTTAAAAGTGAATGGAACGTTCTTATATTGTTGACAACAAAAATAGCTTCGTAAATTTTCGTGGTTGTAGACTCTGCCCCTGTTCTTACACAATTCTATATCATAATGTATTTGTTTAAGGAAGGAGTCTAAGATTTAAACTCAGACTCAGACCGACCATCGGATGCGAAATTCCGAACCTTGGCCTAAACGTATGAGTTTGTTCAAAAGTATTTTATTAAAACGTTTCCGGTACTGTATGTGTATCACGATGGGTTTAGAAACAAAATAAAGAGATATCTAACTAGACCATCAACATCCCTGGATCTTTATAAGACGTCCTTAGCAAAAAAAAAGTATTTAAGATTATAGAAATCTCACTAAAAATTAAGAAATGGGTAATAAATATACAAAACAAAGATCTCTTGGATCCTTGCACTGTTCGCGGGTTATACCGATATGTGGCGATCCGCAATTAGTTCATTTTTTAATTTAATTTTTTTCAGACAAAAGGAAAAAAAACAAAAACAAAATCTTTTTCCTAAAAAACGGTTTCAGGGATAATCATATCCTTAAGTCGTAAAGCCCACAGCTTGTATAAACGAATAGTTCCCGAAAGACTCCACCTCTCCTTGACTCTTCTTCATAAGGAAACAAAAAAGGGGAAAGAAATTCGTTGAAAGAGTGGTAAGCAAATCTTTGTCTCATGGGTTTTAGTGTACATTCCCGCATCTTTGTGTTGGTGTCAGTTTTTTTTAATTCATCAGTACAAGTACGACAATTACCCATCTTCATCATAACCTATAATTTTTCATTGAATCGTGTGTTATTAGTATTTTTAAAGTAAGATAGATAATAATGACAAGAAAGAAAAAATGAACAGAAAAGGAGAGACCACAATAAAAAATGAACAGAAAAGGAGAGACCACAATAAAAAGACGAAAAGTTTACCCATAAAGTCATTTTCAGTTAAGGAAATTAGAGCGTTTTTATATAATAATGCAGAGATTGGTACGAACAGATTTGTGATTGACCATTTCCGTAACTCGGAAAAAACGACACGGAAATATACACCAATCATTTGGGATCAATTCCACGTAAGAATGTGTAACTCGAAATAAAGTTAGTTGGGAGAAAGAGGCTAAATTGAACTGGTTAAGTTGTATTTAAACTAAAATTTGAATTTCATAAAAAAATAATTTTGGGCATTAGACTAGTATATTTTTGTTATGATAGCATGAAGCACAAATTTGTAGTTGAATCACTAGAGTAGCACGTAAATCCAAGTGAGGATAACTTTTACACTGAGAAAAGCCTGATGTATAAACAGTAGATATTCCGTTCTCACGTCAGCCAGTTCAGTCTCACCTTTTTCCTGCTACACACTCTATTGTCCTTACCAATAAATAATAAAAAAAAATTCAAATAACAATAAATTAGAGTGAAGTATTATCTAGGATCCAGATCCAATCAAGATCCGCTCCAAAACTTGAGTATTTATATATTAAATCTAGTTGAAAATGTAGCTTATATTTTTTTGCTTTTCTTTATTAATAAAATAAAATATTTCAATTAAAAAAAAGGTTTTGTCATCTTTTCAGTTTTAAATTAGATGTTCGATTATTTGAGATTTGTTTGTTGGTAATATCAGTTCAAACTAACTTAGCGGATCTAAAAATTAAAAACTCAAACCAAAAGCTGAAATCAAAAATAGAAACTTAAAAACTAAAACTAAAAAATCAAAATCTAAAAATAAAAATTGAAACTAAAAACTAATGAAAACAATCCTCACCACAAATTTTGGTGAACTGATTTTATATCAAAACATTCTTTAAATTAAGACAAAAACCAAATTATATAATTTTTTAATCATAAAAAATTTCCACACTTTCAAACGCGGGTTAAAATCTAGTTTAGATATTAAAATCTCTGATTTATCAAAATCCCGGATGGCTAACTTGTTTTTTAAGCTCATACTTGTGGATTCAGAACCAAAAGTTTTAAACATATTAAATTTTAAATTCTTTATTAGTAATTATTTATAATATCTTAATATCAAAACAATATATTAATATTAATTTTAAAATATTATTTATTTATATAAATATTGTATAAATATTTATGCTTTTACTATTTTTAGTATTTTCATATTAGTTTTTTTAAATACTAGTTTTTATTATTAATTAAGAATCCAGAGCCAAATACTTACAACATGTAAACATATGGGACCGATTGGTTATAGTTGTAGCTTTAAAATTTTAGCTGTAGAGAAAATGTTGTAGTTTTTATGCTGTAACTTTAGATTTTATTGCTGTAGATTATATGGAAAGCTCAAAAAAATTGCTAAATATTTGGTTGTAGAAAGCACTTATACAACTGTAGATTATTTCAGGAGCTGTGATTTTTACAAAATTATTAAAGATTGTTGTAAATTTAGTGCTTTAGAAATACATGGTGCTCTGGAGAGCACCTACAGCCATTACCAAATAAGGTGTTTTCAAATAAAGTCCATAACTTTAATTAATCTAGACGTCAAATATTCTCCATCCAAAGTAAAAGTTGATTAATGTTCATATGTTTTTATGATATTTTTTCATTAACATTTTGACTACGCATATTTTTAAGTTGATTAGTGGAGAAACAACATAGATATAATTTTTGTTTTGAATGAAAACAACATGGATCGAATTAGCTACAACGAAAGACAAAAAAGGGTTGGAGATTCACGATATTACTGGCTATCGATTATTTGAAAGATATATACAAATTTCCCAGGGTAAGAGCACTTAATAGATTACATTATCATAGATTATTCATAAAATATATAGAAGAGAATATAAGTACTTGAGCGAGGGATATATGATCATCGTCTAGGCCGAATGCTTTTTGATTCTTCAAGAATTGAATTTTAGCCACTCGTATCGTCCACCAAGTGGCTCATCTTTCTCGAAATCGAAATTATACCTGTACGAATAAATTCATTTCCTAGACAATTAGTTAATTTTAAAATTCTTTATTTTAGCTGAACAAGATTTGAAACTAACAAAAATAAAAAAAAAACTTACTTGCTAGAACACTCCCACATCTTATTCTTGACATCTTTCTCCGCCGCCAGAAAAAACCCTTCAAGCTCAGCTTCTTTCACCATCTCACAGTTCTTCTTCTTCCTCCGCCGCAGAGACTCGACCTCTTCCATCTCTTCGGGTCTATTATTACTAGAGCAGCAAGAAACCGATGATGACGACACGCGATCTAATAAATCACACTCCGAGTTTGGAACCTGATGGCACTCTTCTTCCACGACGCTAGATTCTGCATCTACTTCTTCCTCCTCCAGCTTCTTTCGTTTCACCCTCCTTGTTTCATTTTCTTCCGCCATTTCTCCTTCTCTTCTTCTACATACCTCTCCCGTCGCCATGGATCTCCCACGTCACCTTCTTCTCTCTCTCTCTCTCACTCGTGTTTTGTTCCTATCTCTCTCTCTATCTCTAGTTCTTTGTACTATTGGTTTGTTCTGTTATACTCATGATGATGAGTAATGATTAACGGCCAGGATCTGTTATTGTCATTTTCACTGAGAGCAGAGAAAAGCCTCGTGTGACGACGAACGATGAAGTGAATGGTATTGGTCTTGTGCTGTGGGGACACACCATTATAGAGAGAGACGACGAATTTTTAACACGAAATTTGACGGCGCCGTTATATACAGAAGGCCATATATACGATCCACATGAGTAGAGAGACTGAGAGAGCATAGTAATAATGTAATATACGTTCTTCCACTTAACGGCTTCAAACGTTACGGTACCGGTGCTTATTTTGTTTTTTTTAATAACGAATTATTTTAGTGGAAAACTGCGATCGAATTTGTATATTTGGATTAATAGTTGGCAACATACAGAAAATGGAATATTCGGATTAATGGAATCAATGGAAGGGATAGAAGAATTTCTTGTGGTTATAAGATAAGGTTGTTTATTAGTCGTAATAGTTGCCATTTTATATAAAAAGGACAATAACATCACTAGCTTTACAGCTAAATAACGGAAACATCTAATGAACCAGCACGGGCGATCCTAAATTATTTCATTTTCCTATAATTAGCAATTTCTTATATATATTTTGGATTCTAATTTTACAAGACATACAGTAAAAACTTTGTAAATTAGTACTCAATTAATAAGTTTTTATCAATTCCAAATTGGACAAGTGTAAAATATAATACAATTAGATAAGAAACAAAGATAATAGATTTTGAAAAACCTTATGTAGATATAAAGTAATAATTAGTGTATATTTTTAATAGATATAAATATATATTTTATAGTTTATTTTTATTCATAGTGAAGTTCTTTAAAAAAATATATATATACATTTCAAAATATTTAATGTTATTTTGTCATTTTACACTTAAACATATCTACATTTAAGCTAAATATTTTTTATACACTAAATAATCGAATAAAAACGACATTAAGTTAATCAATGATTATGTTGTGAAATCAAATATTTTCTTGTTTTACATAAATCATACATGAAAATATATAAATCTAAAAAGCAAACCATTTAAAAAACTATTAACTCTGTGAATCATAAAAAAAAATATCATAGTTTCAATATTATTAATTTATAGAATTGTAACTTTATATTCTCCAATATAATCGTAATATTCAACATAATTTCCCTCCCCCCTTCAAAAACTACACCATGAACCCCATAAACTATACCAAAGTATAGAGACTGTGTTAATCATGAAAAGTGGATTTGCGGACACTGCCAGCCCATCTATATAGTATTTTGTAAGAGAAAAGATATCCAATCAAACGAAAAAGACTAATGAAGTGAATGCAGACAAGTGCACATGGGATCTTTAGTGATATGTATAGTGTGGGCACGAAAATTCATAATGAAGTCTTCATCATGATCATAATTTATAACTACGTATACAAGTTAGTTCATGGGATCTTTAGTTATATGTATAGTGTGAGCACGAAAATTCATAATGAAGTCTTCATCATGATCATAATTTATAACTGCGTATACAAGTTAGTTCACTTAAAGAAAGTACATTGAAGATTCAAACACAAATTCACACGTTTTTCAAGATAAAAAAATATTAAAATAATTACAGTCACATGAACTTTTCTCTCATAAGTTTTTTTGAGTGAATTTTTTATTGGATAATTCATCACTACTTCGTGGATCCCATGATACGTTACGATCCGCGATTGATCCAATTATTTTTTTATTTTTATTTTTCAAAAAAAATCAAACAGAAAAAAACATTGAATTACAAAAAATTTAAAAGTTGAACCCTAAAAGGAAATTCACTAATGTACAAACTCTTAACTACAAGTCTCGAGAACACTTTGATCAAAAAAGTATACAATGAATATAAACTTTTTCTTCTACAATGAATATATACATTATAGTCTAACATGCCTAAAAACTACAACAAATTTAGTTAAACCATAACATGGTATAATTTTAAGACTTCGTGTTTGAACTTTTTTTTTTTTTTTTGACAACGAAAGACTGATTTATTACTCAAGCTTGAGGTGGTCTGGGGAGCCACACCGGAATAGAACAACCAACATACATAAGATCCCGATAAAAGGATCGGGCAGTCTTAGCTAAATGATCTGGCACAGTATTTAGAGCTCGAGGTACATAAGAAATCTGAAAATTTGGGAAACAAATCCGTAATGTCGAGATCCTCTCCAGTTCCGTCGAAAAGCTTGGCCATCCGTGAGGGTCTTTGAGCATTGCTACCAAATCCTTACAATCCGTCCCAAAGCTCTGACATGGCGAATGTTGAAACATGTTCTCCATTGCCCACCGCAGCGCCTCCAGCTCAGAATGCAAAGGCGACTCCACTCTGCTCACATTACGCATCCTCATCAGATGACTATTTCCCAAGCTATCCTTCCACTCCCATCCACAACCAGAAAATTGATCCGTAGAAGTCCAAGAACCATCTATCATGCAAATGTTGCGTAGGCTTATGACCTGCCGCTCAGTGTCACCGTCCTCTTGTGTAATCATAATATCCTGCTCATTAGCCTGGAACCAGGCAAGACACTCGTTCTCTGCATACCGGGCCAATTCCAGAGGATCCCTATCAATACCTCTAAACAGCTTATCATTCCGAGCCTTCCAAATGTACCATATCAACCAAGGAAAATGATCTCTGTCTAGTTCTGGTCCACAAATACTCTTCTTCCGCCAGAACAGATAATCCATATTCGAATAAGTGCTCTCCAAAGGGAATAAAGTGACACTGGTTGGAATCGATGACATGGCCCATACTTGTAAATCTGGTTTGAACGTTTATGTAGACCAAGTCGCCAAGCAACTATGTCGTACTTGAAACCCTTTTCTATAAAAAAAAACTATGTCATACTTCTCTTTATTATATTAATAAATGGGTAAAGTTTTGAACTGAGGTTGATATCCTTAAGCGGTAATGACTTGAGTAACAAGCACCTGTTAAATTCATTCCAGCAATTTTTAAAGATTGGCAATGTAATCGCGGTTAGTTATGACAATGATGCCAAAGACACTACAAGAAATAGCACGAGTTTTATGCTATGGTAGATGTAGCGAACTCATAAATGTTATGTATGCGGCAGTCATTATAGGTATCCTCATTATAATAGTCTTTTTTTAAATGCTATGAAATATGCAGATACGATAGCAATACTCGAATGCTGTTATTAACTTAACTATAGCAATATATTTTTTTTTTTTACAAAATGATTACGATTCATATGTTTGTGCTATGATAGATAATTTTCCAATAAAATAAAATATAATAAAATTAAAAATAATAATTGAAAATTAAATCGAATTTTTTATAATTAAATATAAAAGAAATTTTATTTATAACTAAAAGTGATTTACAAATTTATTCTGGTTTAAACTAAACCAGAAATTAAAGTAAAATCAAACCACTACAATTTTCCTATCTCGGTTTACACTAAACCAAATTAAAAAAAGCAAAAACCTAAACCTAAAAAAAAAGAGACTCCAGCCGCCTTGATTTTCTGTCTCCTCCAGCCTCTGGCTCTGTCTTCTCTCCGACCACCTCTTTGCCTCCGGATCTGTTCTCTCTGCCTCAACCTTGAGCAAAGAACAATCCAAAGTAGCAGACTTTAACAACTACAAATACCACTACAATCCAACAATGTTAAGAGATGAAGAGAAGTAAAAAGAAGTGAGAGGAGGGGGAAAAGAGACCTCGGTGATGGAACAAAAGAGAGACCTCCAGTCACCTCGTCTCGTCAAGCCTCTTGTGCATCCTCCAACGTCTCGTCAAGCCTTTTGTGCATCCTCCAACTTCCTTTACCAAAAAACAAATCAAAATCAGTTTTAAAGGAGAGAAAGAGAGAGGGAGAGAGCACTACAAGATCCATGGAGAGAGAGAGAGATAGATAGAGAGAGAGAGAGAGAGAGATGGCGGGTGGTGGTGGTGAGGAGGTCAACGTGATGGTGAGAGAGAGAGAGAGATGGCGGGTGGTAGTGTTGACAAAGAGAGAGATATTGCGGGTAGCGGTGGTGGTGAGAAAGTGGCGTGTGAGAGAGAGAGAGAGATTTGTCTTTTACGTGTCTTTTCAGGTTTCCTTGTAAATTCTTAGTTAAGCTTAACTAGGAGTTTACGAGGAAGTATTATTACTAGGAAACTACGTGTCTTTTCTTGTTTCCTCGTAAACTCCTAGTTAAGCTTAACTAGGAGTTTACGAGGAAATATGATTTAGCGAGAAAATAGCAAGGCTTCGGTTATTTTAAATTTAAAAACGTGTATTGTATATATTTTTCCTCGTAAATTCTTAGTAAATATCTATCTACCAAATCAAAATTTCTATAAATACGACCATTTGTGATTTATTTCAAACACACCAAAAAACAATCAGCTATAAGCTTGAAAAAAAAAATGTCCGGTCCTGAAAATATTTTCGAGTTACGGAGGTGGATGTATACACACAAAGATAATAACGGGAGAGTGACGAAAGAATTTCTCTAAGGGTTGGAGAGATTTATGCATCAAGCAGATTTTACACCGTTCACGTAGGAAAGTGGTAAGATGTTATGTCCGTGTCGGAAATGCAACAATATAAAATTAGGCCCTCGTGAAAATGTTTGGAAACATTTAATAAATAGAGCTTTTATGCCATAATACTATATTTGGTATCAACATGGAAAATATTATAGTTGTAAGAATGAAGCTAGCAGTAGTAATAGCAACTTCCAGGATGAACTGTCGTTGATCATTTGCGTAATGAAAATAGTTATCACCAGGAGGAACAAATGGTAGATTGTGATAGAGTTCATGATATGGTAGGTGATGCATTTGTAACTCATGATGATGAAGTTGAAGAACCAAACTTAGATGCAAAAAAGTTTTATGAAATGTTAGAAGCTGCGAACGAGCCAATTTACAATGGTTGTAGAGATGTCTCTCTAAATTGTTGTTGGCTGCTAGAATGATGAGTATTAAAACCGATCGCAATCTACCTGAAAATTGCATGGATGCATGGGCAGACTTGTTTAAAGAGTATTTGCCAGAACACAATGTGTCTGCTGAATCTTATTATGAGATTCAGAAATTGGTTTATAGTCTTGGATTGCCCTCAGAGATGATAGACGTTTGCATCGACAGCTGCATGATTTACTGGGGAGATGATGAGCATTTAGAAGAATGTCAATTCTGTAAGAAGCCACGATTCAAACGGCAAGG